AAAAAAAAACAATCCTCGTTTCCACTTCAAGAATGAGCAAAACGAAACAAAACCTGACGGTGATGTTGGGACTGGAAGGGTGAGGGTGCCAGCCTCATGCCGTGAGGAAGCACGTGCTCTCCACCCTCAGTGAGACACTGTTCGGCCAGTGAGCCCACGTGTAGACTTGAGGGTGAGGCTCACTCACCACCAGCCCGGATGGACGGGCTCCACGGCGTGGAATCCAGATACGCATACCCGTTCTCCAAGCAAGGCAGCCCCTGCCGACGGCATGGGTCCGAGGGGAGAGAAATACGCTCCCTGGGCTACCCCACTGCTCTGCTGCCACAGCCCAGGCAGCCCTGGCTTCCCAGGCGAGGAGAAGGGGCAGGTGTATCTCCTGTATCACCTACAGCCCCACATTTCCCTCTGGGGGAGAAGGATGGTTCCCAGTCTAACCCACCAAGGAGTATTCAACCCAGAAAGCAGAGTTTAAATCTGAGGTAGGTCAAACCATGTCAAATTGCCAGCGACCTACAGAAATGGCGATGTCTTTCATTCAACTCAATATTGATAGCATATCGGCCATGTTTCAAACATATGAGGCTCTGTGATAGTTGTTGTATTGAGAGTTGATAGTATTGACAAGAACAAATACCATGGTTGAATGTTCTCGGGTGACAAATTGTGTCTGCTGTGGGCTTCTGTTAACCCCCATCCCTCCAGGGCCCTCAGGTAAGTGACTCTGACTCACTACTGCAGAGAGTTTATTTGTGGGAATGTCCTACCTTCTTAGGGCTCTGGAGGAATCAGTTGAAATTAGGCTCTGTCCCAGAGCATTAACTGGATATGTCTGCAGTGCCCAGTAATAGTAGTAACTAGAAATTAATTTTTAAGAACCAAAAAGGGCTCTGAGTTGCAGTGAATGCTCCAAGCCGTCTATGATAATAGAAGGACAACTGCTTCATGGGTAAATCACAGTTCTAAGGCATGAAAATTGTTTTATCAGCACAGAGCTATGCCCGCCCCTTGCCCCTCTGGTCGTGTCTAAAGTTCCCATTTAGATTTTCTTCTCCCTGGCTGAGCTTGCTGCAAACAGGTGATTGGCCAATTGGTAGGGAGCACAGCACATTTTCGGGGATTCAGAACCTGTGTGGAACACTCACTGGCAGAGATTAAATGTTTGCAGGCTCTTTTCCCTTTTCGGTTGGAATTTTGCGTGTTCTAGATTCCAGTGGAATTAGTCCTTGTCTGAATTGACTTAGTGTATTCGGCCCACTGGAAACCCCTTTATGTAGTAAGTAGTTCCGGGCTTTCATTTCCAAATCACCAGGACTAATGCTGATTGCCAGCCTGCCCTGAGCGCCCCGCTGTGTGGACCCTTCCCTGAATGTTCCCTCAGACACCTGCACAAGGGAGGGGGAGGATGTGGGCATCCCCCGCCGGAGGCATGATGGGAAATCTCCCTGTCTTTTCTTGCTTCCATCCCATGTCTCCGTTTTCCCTCTTTTTTTATTGGTTTTTTAAACAGTTTTTTTAATGTTGATTTATCTTTTGGGAGAGAAGGAGAGACAGAGCGTGAGCAGGGGAGGGGCAAAGAGAGAGGGAGACACAGAATCCAAAGCAGGCTCCAGGCTTTAAGCTGTCAGCACAGAGTCTGACGTTAGAGCTGTTGGATCATGACCTGAGCCGAAGTCGGACGCCCAACCGACTGGGCCACCCAGGCGCCTCTATTTGTCCTCTTTTTCCCTTGAAGCCATGGCTCCAGTTCTACCTTGCAGAGAAGCATTCTCTGTGAAGGAAAAGAATAATCTGGAAATGCAGTGCTGTTCTTTCCTCCCGTGTCTAGTGGAACATACCAGAGGAAATCTTCAGTGTGAGCAGCGGTCACGTGATCATTGTGACTAAAACAAACAGCCGTTAATGCTCTGTTTCAAATACAGCAGTCGTGTGATTTCTCTCTCTCGGCACACCGACGGGTGTCTGAAATGCTGAAGGGCAAATCAGGGAAGAGCAGAAAGGAGGGAGAGGTCTGTTGCTGTTCCATGGTGAGGGTCTCTCTGCGCTCTGGACCGACTAGACCCATGCAGAGAGAGACGTGCGTAACCGGGCGTGCACCTGTCCGCTTCTGCAGCCCTCGCGTGTCTCCTCGTAGCCGTCCCTGGAACTGCCACTGGGCTTGTTGACTTGAAACCTTTGCTGTTCTTCTTTTTTAAAAAATATTTTCCAACCCACTTGCTTTTCTTTTCTTTTCTCTGTCTGTTCCGTCCAGAACCAAACTGTCTTACTAACTGCCCCCTGGGGACTCTAGCCCTGCCTGCCTCACGCCGTAAGTGCTTTCTACCTTCGCTGCACACCGTCTGGAAAGGTCACTTGTGTAACTCGGGGTTGGTATCTGACACTCAGAAGCAAGGCCAGATCATGCCAGGTAGATCTTCCCTGTCCGTATAGCCCACCGCCTGCGCTGGCCTGGCGCTCATCTTCAGGGACAGACTGGCAGGCGTAGACCTTCCCATTTGCTCACGGAGTGCCGACTGCTCACTGTGCAGGACGGTTACAGGGGTGCTGCTGAGATTTCCGCTGTCCTGTGCAGTTTGCAGCCAGTATGCTTCCAGGGGTACAGGGATCCTGGCTGGAGAGGGCACTGTCTCCGTCACAGAGGCCTAGCCTGCGGGGGTCTGTGAGCCACGTATTTTCCCAGTCGGCCTGCATCTGCTCGCTGGTATTTTGCAAGCACACATACACCACCAGATGCCAAAACGAGGGGTGACCATAACGCGATGAGGCGTTTCCCTGTTTTTCTACAACCACCTCAGAAGGAATAAATCCAAACGTATCTTGTCCTTCCAGGTGGTCACCGTAGGTGACATAGCAAGCGCTCAATTAACATTTGTCAGATGACTCAACAACAAAGCCATCGCTTGCTCCAAAGAACAGTCTCCCAGAGTTGCCTTCAGGGCCACTCGAGCGCTCGGACTGCTAAATCCAAAAGTGCAGCTGGCCCCCTCAAAGGCTAAAAGCATGCTCCAAAGATAAAAGGTCACATCGCCCATTGCAGGGGCCTCCCTGAGAAGGACAGGATCGTTTGCTTGCATGTGCTGGCGTGTTACGAAAGACAAAGTTCATTCCCCTGAACTCGTGGTCACACGTTTCTTCCTGTAGGGGCTTGCAACCAGATGCTAGTGAAGAAGTCGTGTCACGCCGTCTAATAAAAAGCCCTCCAGGCTGCAGGGGTGTTGGAAGAACCCTATAGCAGCAGCCACACCAGGATTCAACACGTGTAACACACCCAACGCTGCCCCCACGTGCAACACACCCAACACACTCCTACCCATACACAGCACACGACGCTCCTGTGTACAAGATGCCACACGACGCACATATACACAACATACGTCCATACACGTACAACACACGCATACACAATGTGCACGCATATACAGCAGTACAACACAACAGGCCTACACAACACGATGCTGCACATACAGCATACATACCCAATACACTTAGACGCTAAACAACACACACAGTGCAAACAGTACGCAACACACACTCCCACACACAACTCTTACAATGCGGGGAGCAGAGACACCAAAAGACAAATCAGTGGCAGATCTCCCAAGCCATGCATCCCCCCCCCCCCCCCCCCCCACCCCCGTGCACAGGGCTGAGGTGAGGTGAGGACAGCTCACCCTGCCTAGTTTGCATTTCAGCTATTTCAGGCCGTTTCGTGGGCGAGGTCTTTCTGGTTGTCATGGCTCCCATCAGCACAGTGCTTTGTTAATCAAGGCTTCCCCATCCTGTCCTATAACACGCGCGGTCACAAAGAGGCAGGAAACGTCTAGGAGTAGTCGCCAAGGTTAACGCCATTTTCTGCCGAGCCCACAGGGAGGCAGGGACCACCTCACTCCATCGCTCTTCCAGAAGCACCAGGCCGGTGCTCCCCCTCCTCCTCACGTCGCCCATCCACATCGCCCACCAGTCTCTTCCCCACTGTCACTCCCCTGCTCCGCGGATTAACCTTCCTCATCCTGGCCTCTGCCCTTGCTTGTCGCATCTCTGTCACCCCTCCGACACCTTTCCTGACCGGCTCTGAGAGTCTGTGTTCTCTGTCATTCTTCATCGCAGTGGTTTGCCATCTCAGCTTTTTCTTGTGTGAGTGTCACGGGGGCGGACGGGTTCCGCCCTGTGGGACTCACTGTCTCTGCACACCGCCACCGCCTTTCCGTGCGCCAGCATGTTCCAAGTTTGGGCACCCGTGTCTCCTGTCCTGCAGACTGGGGACAAGTAGCTCCACGTTCATTAACACCAGAAAAGGAAGAGCAGCCCTGGAGAAGAAGTGGTATAGGGGGTTCGCACCATGGTTGGGCGTGTCCTGCAGGAACTGTCCTCCGAGGGCATAGGATGCCTGTGACAGAAGCACAAGCACGCTCTGATGCCACTTTTTTAAGTGCTGCAGCAAGGAACAGCCATTAGAGAAAACCAGACCGAAGTTAAAATTTCTGCCCGCAGCCTTTTTTTCCATGGGGGTTTGTTGAACCCACTGCCAGTCTATTGGGAATAAACACTAGCAGAGTTCACGTCGAGGTGAGTCTCGTTGTTAACATAGCTGGATAAATCATCTGTCTCTTCATGGGCCTCCAACAGACCAAAGCACAGGGAGGCTGGCCTCTTAGGGCCAGGTCACTGTGGCTAATAGATCATTCGGGGCGGGGGGGGTCCAAAAGGATGGGGTCAGCTGGGTCAGGCTATGACCAGGTGGCCTGTGGCTTTCCCCACCGTCCAGAGGCTCCAGCCCAATTCTGAAGATGCTGCGTAAACATACCCATCTCATGGCGTCGCCATATTTTGATCATAATTTGGTATGTTCCCATTACTGTGTCATTGATCATCCGTGTTGAACTTTTCACTTGCCATTTAAAGTTATTCTCTCCCGGCACACTAGAACATTTTGAAGTTACCCCTGGTCCGTTGCATTTAACCCGAGTCTGTTGAGAAGTGTGTGGGGAGAGTCGTCCCAGCAAGGCGTTGTCAGCCTGAGTAACCGTGTCTTTTTCTTTCTCGGCTTTGAAGGAACTACCTTGTTCCGCACTAGCTCCATCCCTAGAACCCTGCTTCTCCAGGCCCGAGAGACCAGCAAACCGTCGCCCTCCGTCCCGTTGGGCCTCACATTCCCCCACTGCCTCAGCGGCTCAGTCACCCGGAGACCCAGCCTCCTTGGAGGAGCTCGGAGAAGAGGAGCCGCCCGGGGAGAAGACACACCTGTGACGAGAGTGCAAGTTTGCATGGGTTATTGGGGACCGATGCCCCGCGATTTGCATAACCACACCGTCGTCATCAACCAAGCTCCGCCCACAAGGAGAGATCCAGCTTTCCCAAGGTCAAAGAATGTTTCTTAAAACACACACAGCTGCTGAATGTCCAACCTGTGAACCTGAGATGTTTCTAGAACGAAACCGTAAACGTGCCTGTAATAACTTAATTTTTTTCATAGCTCAGAAAACTATTTTTGTCTCCATCTTTTTTACACACAGTATATTAAACAAACAAACAAACAAAGCTAGGTAAGATATAAATAAATTTAAAAAAATAAAAGTTTTAAAGGTGTACATTTTAAGAGATTCTGAACACCCTTGCTCTCAATACTGACTGCCTCTCTGTTAAATTTGCACTGTTACATTTCGGTTTGGTTTCTTTCCACGTTGAATTAGAGTGTTTTAAGTTAATATTGTTTTGTCAGTGTTCTTGTTTTTTAAGAATTTTTGAAATGCTTCAGACTGTGTGATTCAGTGAACTTTTTGTAGTGAAAAAGCCATGAAGCCAGTCGATGAGACAGATATCCTCTCTACAGGAGGGGGTACACGTCAGCATTTTTGCAAAGGTACAGAGTCCTCAGCTGGGCTTACCGAATTCGCTGTATAATCCACATACTCTACTCGACTTGCACGTCTTTGGGTTCGAAGCACTGGGGTGCATGTACATACACTGCTGTGTGGTCTCAACCATCGCGTAAGTGTGAGTCCTCTGTCCCACCGTAACACATTGTGAATCCCTCGTACTGTACTTTTATCGTTGTCCTCTTGCATTGAGACACAACGGCAGTGGCATTTTTAAATTATTGTTAAAGATGAACTGGCAGTATACGGTGTTTGCCCCAAATTTTCTTGTTTAAGGAAAAGCACTACGAAAAGGGTACCAAACTGGATCAAAGGATCGTGCCTCGGAGTCTGTGTGAGACAATGATGAAGTGCAAATAAAGCCTTTACAAGATGGCAGCCTGTTCCGGGACCTCGTGTTTCACATGCCCTCCATCCCTTCCTAAGGGCTCAAGCTGACAGTTTTCCGGAGCCAGGGGAAGGAGGGGGAGGGGAGGTCATGTAAAAAAGGCAACAGCGGCCAGCACATCTCCCTGGGGACACACGGCACGTGCGTGATACGCCGCATCTTCCCTGTTCCCTGTAAGAGTGCCCTGAGGTTGATGAAAGGCACCTTCGTTCTTGTTGAAAATATGGTGGCGGGTGTGAGGAAACTTACCCACGAGCCGGAAGGTGCCCGGCCTCTCTGCCTCTCCCCAACTTGAGAAAGCGGGGGTGGCGAATCACCAGGATGATGTTGCCTCATGAGATGTAGCCCAGCCTGTCAGTGTGCGACCCACTAGGGGTCTGCAAGGTGGTGATGTGATGCTCCCAAAGAGGGTAAGAACTACGTCAGGCCGAAGCTTCTGGCCTCGGTGTTCCGTTGACCCGACAGTGCTGTTCTCTAGACTGGCCAACAGAGTAAGTTGTGTTCCCATGTGACCAAAGTTCCATCTTTAAGCTAAATATTTTCCCCCCGAATGGAAAATACCAACTGTTGGTGAGGACGTGGGGACGCTGGAACCCTGGTGCAGTGTTGCTGGGGATACAGAATGGTGCGGCCACTGTGGAAAACGGTGGTTCCTGAAGTTCAACAAGATGATCTACGATCCCGCGGTTGTGGCCGTAGGCCCAGAAGAACTGAAAGCTGGGACCTGAACGGATATCTGTCCTCCCCTGTTCATAGCAGCATTATCCACAAAGCCAAACGGTGGAAAACAGCCGGGATGCCAAATCGGTGAATGAATGGTAAACAAGATGTGGTCTGCACATACACTGGGCTACTGTTCAGCCTTAGAAAGGAAGGAAACTGTGGCACATGCCTCCTGCCACCTGCGCGAATCTCAAGGCCGTGAAGTGAAATAAGCCAGTCACAAAAGTAATAAATAGTGTATAACTCCCCTTATACGAAATACCTGGAGTAATCACATTACATAGTAACATTACCAAAAGTAAA